AATCAAACAAAATTGAAAACTATAAAAGTTATGGTTTGTCTGAGCAATAATGATTTTATAGAGAGTAATTTAAATTTAATTTCATACTTTTTTGAGGGGTGGTGGATAAAATATGGATGATGACATGCTAAGAGAAAATGTGTCATGTGGGTCACACTAGTGGAAATTCAGGATTTTGTTAAATATTGCCTTGTAGAATTAAGAACTTAAAATTTGTATACTATTAAAATATGAATTATTAACTAAAATTTTATGTTATTCTAATTGGTATAACATAAAACAAAAAGTAGTTTATTAACATTTTGAAAGTAAGACACTAAAACCTTGTGTCATGCACAGTGGAAGATCATGATCCCATATTTTCTGATGATCATCCACATAAATGGCTAATTAGTTTAATAGTATATAGTTTTTCTCTACACTATGCTCTCAGAAAATGGATGGTCTGTTGTCCTGGTGTCTCTGATTGCAAGGATCTGACACATATTCGCAAAGAAAGCTGATTTACAACGTTTCGACCCTCGTCTGGATGAAGTTCCTCTATATATTGGGTATATCTTCACGAAATTTGGCAGTCTTTCAATTAACATTACAAGTCTTTCACATATAAAAAATCATATTTCTTAGTGAAGTACTTTTAATAAAATAAAGTTTTGTCCATGAATATATTGAGTATTTGTTTTGAATAGTCCGTGTGCAAAGTAATTTTCATTGGAAAAATGATGCATTTTTATGTACAATGATTTAAGATTAAAAAAGTAATGTAGTACTAAATAGTTTTACCTGAAGTTGTCTATCAGATAAAGTGAAGGTAGTTTGAAAATGTCTTTAAAAACCAAATAAGGTATAAATAGGAAGATTAGTCTCATATTTAGTAACTTCTAAGTGCTATAAATTTATATAACTGAACGTAATCAATGAACAAATTCCACTAATTACCCCGCTTTGTTGTAAAAAATAGTTTTAGGCCTATTGTATTTTTAAACCCTATATCCTTTATTTGATTCATGAGGGTTACTCTGTAAAGGAGAGTATATTACTATTCCAACCACACTATGTCCATCATATACTAACAGTATGTTTTAACCAATACTAGAGCTCCTTGTGGTAGCTGGGATACAACAAAAATTGTATAAATTCAAAAATACAATAACAGCTATTTTTACAATAAGCGAGTTTGTAATACAGGTTAGTTTGTAATATAAAATTATTATACCTGGATAGCAGTAAAGGAGCATTAACCCTCTCTCCATCGGCATTTTTTTCTGTGCATGTCATGAGGTTTGAGTGAGTTGCATTCAAAATTTATGTAGACTTTTTTTTTTATGCTATATTTATTACTATCCCATAAAGGGATAAGGTAATATTAAAAAAATGTATAGAATTTCCCCTAGGGTGAGAATTGGGACATTTGCTATCTTGGCATCCCCTCTTTTCTAATTTAATTACCACCCTCTTAAAAAGTATGGAATTTAACATAAATTATTCATTATAATGTTATCATTGCTCAGACAAAGCATAATTGTTATAGCCTTCAATCATATTTGGTTACAGAGCTATCAAATAAAAAATCAGACCCCACTTGCCATACCCAATTCTCACATCCTCTCTCTCAGAAATTGGTAGTAGTTCTCTCTGATGTTCATTGCTATAGTAATTGTAACCAATAGAAAGCCTGGGTCTTTCATTTTTCAAATGATGTATCATATTACATTTTCTGTAAGGAGAATTGTCAATTTTGCTTTCAGTTCAAATTTGATTTCCATGAGAAACACATTGACTAGCTTAGATGAATTTCTAATCACTCTTGTCGCATAGTTAGAAGGCCAGAAAATTTTTATTAGTTATGGAACATTGTCTACTTTTTGCATGTTATTATTCTGTGTTTTTTGGTGCATCATTTAATTAAATAAAAAATGATTTAGTACAGTGCACTTGAGATTACTTGAGGCTTAATAAAGATATCTTGTTAATGTTTGGTTCTTTATTTAAAATTATGGTGTTTTTACTTTTTAATTGATATACTATTGTTGTATTGAGTTGCGGTGTTTGTAAACATTAGGTTGTTTTTATTATGTTCACCAAATAAATTAAAATTGTCATCAAATTAAATAAGTTTACTTTTTAGTCAGTATGGTAGACAATTGCAAAATATTATCATTCATATGAAGGGTAATTGGAAAATTATTTAAAGAAATGAAATCATTATAAAAGAAAATAGGAAAAATTAATACTCTTTGCAGTCACATTGCTTGTTTTCATAAGTCTAATGTTTTCTTGAAATTTGGGTCTTCAAGAAAATAAATTCATGTAACTATCAAATATACATATTAGAATACAAATAAAATTTATCGGTTACTAGAACCGACTGCTCCTGAAACTATTATAAACTGTCTGTCTTTATAAATAAGTTATAAAGTGGTCTTAAAAAATTCATTTGTATTCAGAGAAACACATTTGCTGAACCCAAACAAAGTACTTCTTCTCAACTATGGCCTTTTGCTACCAAAAATAAACAATGGATTGTAAGTTTTATGTAGTGGAGAGTCTTCTCTTTCTGTTGATTATAAACATGTCCATCAGCTGTGTAAAGTTGATTAGCAAAGAAATTTCAAAAGTCATAGAGTGAGGAGAATGGATTCTCTGGTGGGTTGACAAATGTGTTGATACCTCAGCAAATTAAGAATGTAGGGATTTTAGATTTTTGCTTCTAATTATGTATAGTTTGTGTTTCTAATTGAAGAGAAACTGTAGAAGCATATTATCAAGGTTATGCATATTTGAAATTAGGAAATTGGAACTCGGACTTGTGACATAATACAAAAAAAGAGTGAATTTTTCAAACATTTATTTTAAAATTAACAAATTAAAACATAGATAATATAAAACTTTGATTTGCAAAATGCATTTTTATGCTCAGTTTATTGTTGTACATTAATAATAAAATTGTTTAATTACATTTTGAAAGTAACAGCGTAACAAATTAGGAAATGCACACTTTTACCTGGAAAGACTGTGTTTTTAAACTGTGCTTGCACATTTTCCTTTCCTAATTTTATTTCAGTTCAAACAATTTTTAGTATTAATTTTGCATATCTGCTAAAGTTGTATGTTGTTTTTTGTTATAACTCACGTAAAATTTTAATGTTACATTTTCTAGTAAAATTTTTTAGTTTTAATTCTTTACAAAGCAAAGAATTGTTTCAAGCAGGGGCACTCTCATAACTTAGTGTTACAAGTTCATGAACTTGGATTGTTTTATTTTGGTGCATTTATATGTTTCTGTGCTACTTATGAAATTATTAGTGTTGAGCACCAGCACCCACTTTGAATTGAAAGGTAACATGAGTTTCATTTAATTGTTGAAAATTGTATTGAACATTTTTTTCTGTATGCTACATAGTTAAGTGTGTTTGAAGTTTACACAAAATATTAATTTTGCATCTAAATATATAAGAATGTTCGCTTTAATTTGTTTATCCTAGTTTAAAATGCAGAATATAGTACGTAAAAAGAAGGAACTCAGTCATGAATCTGGGTCTGAAACAAGTTTCACTAAATAGTGGTAACAGTAGATACTGATTTCATGCCATAAAGTATACACAATTCAATTCTACTTCTATGTTAAAGATAGAAATTACATGTAGAAATGAATGAATTATTAGTCTTCAACATAAGATATTTTTTCTTGTATGTTTTATTGATAGAAGGTACTGAAATTTAGTTATTTCTAAAATAATGGTAGTCCTGGATTATAATCATGTAGAAGTATAGAATATACAGAGAGGAACATGTCTTATTATAGATATTTCTAAAGTAAAAGTTCTAAGAGTTATATATTACGTTATTATTTACAGCAGTTTTTAAACAGATGCAATTAAATTGTATTTTCTTTAAATGTGGAACTGTTGCTATAATTTTATTTTTATTTTTTTCAGACCTACAGAAAATAGGCCTAGACCTTCTGGACCTAGATCTAGGTCTCCTTTGAGAAGAAAACATCCTGATGCTTCTAGATCTAGGCCAAGTCCAAAAAGAAGACGTTCATTCAGTCCTCCTTATTCTGGCTCAGCTGGTAAACTTTCAGGACCTCCTTTGGACAGGTATAGTTGAAATAGAGCCACTCCATCTACATGTATCAAGAAATTATTTTACTCATGAAATAATTTCATCACTGGCTTTTAAGATGATTTTTTCTCCATCTGAATTGGTTTTCAGATGCTTTGTTTTCCTTTTTGTGAATAACATGTAATCTGCTGCTTTCTACTTTCTTACAGCTGAAGATGAAAGTAAGCTTGAGCACATGCTGTGTAGTAATTGATGATCCAAAATCAAAGCAGAAAACTGAGTTTCATTAATGTTTTATATTTTAAAACATACAGCTTAAGCATTTCAAATATAGCATGTGAGAGGTGAAAGTGCTGCCTCAGTTTTGAAAGAATTTTTGGTAAAGTCTTGTCACATACATCTTTCTACATTTACACTAAAAATTGGATGTATGACTTTCCCTACTGTTTTATATCTCTGGAAATTCCATGCATACAAATTATGATTATTCAATATTCTTGAATCGTTTTCTACAACAGTTGAAACAAAGTAAATGATCTGACAGTACTTCTAAGGAGTAAAAGAACTAAAAAAAACAACAAAAAAGTAGGAATAGTCATTTTACTTGACAAAAGAAGAATTGAGTGTAACTACTAGGAAAATGCTACAGTAATCAAAATATAATACTTTAAAGAAATTGTGATCTCATTATTTGAGCATAAGATAAGTTTGTGTAAATGTGAATAATAAGGCAGCCTCACTGTCACTGAGAAATTCAAAGTTGAAGTTATTCCAAACATCATTCAAGGAGATGGAAAGTGTGGAATAGGGGAGAATAACACAAGTGTATCTGCTGTTATGCTTTTTTATGTGTAACTCTCTAGTTTACAGTTTGTCATAGCAGTAAGTTCTCTTTAAGCATTAAGTTTGTGTCAATCTGTTTTTTGACTATTGGAAAAATGTTTGTCTGAAAACAAAGTACAGACATTCCACATCAATCAGAATTTCCACACAAGCATGTGATTTGAAATACACTCTGAAGAAACAAATGAGCGAATGAGAAAGCATTGGAATGCATTATATTTCATAAGCTTACTGATGTGTGAAGTATAGCTAATATACTGATTAGAATCCAAGATGACTTATTCATGCACTGTGATTTAATGTGAAAAAAGAGGGTGACAATGATTTTACAGAACATAAAAAAACGTTTTCCAAAAATGCATTAAATATGTAAGAAATAACAGTGGGAAAAATTACAAGAACATTAATAAAGTGAGTAAATAAAGCATGAATTTTAGACTTTGCAGCTAAAATGCAAACTAGATTTATTGATATGAAACAACGAATTAATAGATGAAAAAAAAACTACCTTAGCAAAGGACTTTTGGGGGAACAAGATCAGGCAAGAAACTGCAGTAAAGAATTGTCTACTAAAACAGGAATGGTGTTCTGATACAAAACGATATTAACCAAAATCATCCTAGAAACATAAGGATCCTAAGAAATTGGGTAAAAAATTAAACTTCAGAAAGAGTAGAAGTGGATAAAAATTACTATCACTTACCTGATGGAAATGAGCTGTGATTGAACACCAATCAGTTGAAAGAAAAAATGATTAACAATGACCTTTTTGCATAAGAATTTTAAAGAGAGAAGAGGGAATATAAATGAAGAAAGTTATTATAATAACTTCAAAATGATGAATGTATGTAATAATGGTTCAAGGTCAGGCTTTGAATTTACAGGAAGAATATAGGTGATCAGGATCATGCAAGAGACTTTTCAAAAGATGAAAACATTTACCAAATCATGAATGAGACTTTAAAAGAAAGTAGATGTTATGCGAAGTCAAAGTTTCTCTGAAATGAGCATAAGTTGTTTAAGGTTACCATTGTGTTAGAAAACATAGGAACATTTAACAAGAGATTCTTAATCATCATTTTTTGTTTAACGCAGCATTACTGTGCTGATGTCATCCAAAGACCTCGGGAACATTATAATAATTCTAAAACTACTATATTCTTGCATACCTTTTAATCTAGCAAGAATGATTTTAGTGCACTAAGTCACTTTTGAAGACCACTGCATGAACTACAAAACCTTCCACTAATTCTATAGCAATTGGAATTGATTCATGACAAGCTGTTTAGGGAGTGGTATAATAGACACTATGGATATGAAGCATCACTGATGCATATTAATTAGGGAGATCAAGTAATTAGAAGTTCTAACTATGTTTCGATTGAACAATGTTTTGGAAGTAAACCATTTAAGTGAAAAAAAAAATTATAGTCTTATACCTATATATTCAAAAAGCTTACTTAGAAAGTAAACTACAACCCAAAATCCATGCAATGTAATTTTGCAAGTGCAAAATAGTCAGCTACTTTAGCATAATCACTGTCAATTTCTCTATGGACAGTTAGCAACACCAACCCCGACAGATGTTCTTTGACAGTTGTATTTCTTAGCCATGTTTTCAATCACCTTAACATTGAAAATGTCCTCTCTGGGGTTCTTGTGAATATTGGCAATGTAACACAAACAAAAAGCGACCATTAGGGAAGAAATCAGCACTGTATATTTGTGTTGATATAAATGATGTAGGCTTGTTTCTTTGTTCAACAGTCTGCTGTTTCTTCAGCCACAACTTCCTGTTTAAATGTTTCAGGCTCTACCAGCAGTTTGCCAGTGCTCCAATGAATATCAGCCTCTGAAAACTTGTGTTTGTTCAATCTCAAGAGTATTAGTATACTCAGATTTAGGCCTTCAACTTCATCAAGAAGTGATAAGGGAAAATGAATATAAATGATGTTAAGAAGTATTTCCCTACTGCAGAATGTTGCTGGCCATCATTTTGTTGTTGGTCAAATCTTGGCAACAGTACCTGTTCTGTTAAATCCAGTTCTTTGTCAAAATGCTCAATCTTGGTGAAGAAAACCTTGAAAGATATTTTGGTACTTTGCTTAAGATCTTCATATGTGCTCAAAACAATATTAACATGATTGCAAGCCTGCTTTGCAGGACCATGCACAAGGGCAGAGTGAGGCCAAACAACTCTCTTTGAAAGGAACAGACTGACAATAAATTGATTTTTCTACATTTACATGTCTAATTGACATGTTTTTGCTACAGCTTAAGTATTGATATTGTCTTGTTGCAGGTCCTCCAAAGTGGTCAGAATGGGCTCATAAATCTCAATGAGGCAGTTGACAGCATTGTGTTACTTCACTCAATAGATTCTGCAAAGAATAATTAGCTTGCTCTTTCTTGAATCTGGTCTAGACTATCATATTTTCCTTTTCAATACCTGAGTACAGGATGGAGAGGATTCAAAGAAGGTACAGATAAGAGACATAGTTCCAAAACAATGTCTCATTACTAGTATGGAACAAGCTGAAGTGACTGCAAATTTCAAAGTATTAACCCTGAAGGGAATATATACAGCTTTAGGGAATTGGTTTTGCATTACTGTTTGGTCTCCTCTGAACTCACCACTCATAGAAGCTGTTCCATCATAAGCTTGACCCACCATCTTGTTCATTTGTAGTCCCAGATCTTCTAAGGCCATTAATACTGATGAAGCAAGACCTTTTCCAGTAAAGACCAAGATAGGAATGAATCCTAAAAAGTCTTCATGCTAAATTCCTTCCAAGATTTATTGAATATAAATATATAATTACTTGATATTTGTTATATCTGATGTTTAACTAGCAAGAAGAGAGAAACAACCATTTCTTTCACAAATGGAGATCAGTTCATTTTGTAGAACATGGAAGTATAAACTGCATTAGCAGAGCTGTTTTTATTGTGTTTCTTCAAGTTCTCATCTCCACATGTTGCTTTCATTTGTAAGATAGCTTTGAATTTTCCATCATTGAAAACAGGATCTTTGCAGTAAGGCATAAGAGGACCAAAGACATTGGTGTCTTGTAGTTCCAGTTGTTGTCTGTCACGAAAACACAATAGTCTCTGGCAATTTTCTGTGGCTTTCATTTTCCTGGTGTGTTCTAAATGATTTAAGATATTGTCCTTTATGAACATCTAAAACAAAAACTTGATTTTCTTGAGATGAAACTCTGCTTGACTGTGGGAAGTAAATACTTCATTTGCATCCTTCCATGCTGCAAAGGGTTTTAGGATAAATGAACCATGTCTTTGGTATTCACCTTTCTCAGTAGAGTTGCCAAGTACCAAGGAGCATTTGCAGGACACACCTTTCAGATATGAGCCACAAAAAGTGGTCTTATCAGCTTCTTTGAAAGTGTAGATTTTACATGCCTGAAATGGGAAAGTGCAAGATGAATCCATAATTCAAGATGTCTACAATAGCTTCAGCTTTGTTGCAACCTCTATTCAGTAGCCTGGTTGACAAATTGCTCAATGTTGGACTTGAAATGTCTCAGAGTGTTTGAACCAATAAGAGTTGATTGGTTGGAGAAGTTCAGAAGTCATTTGGGAGGATTAGGGTTAAATTGATTCAGTCAAAAATCATGTTACACCTTTATCCAGAAATTACTTTCATGAAATTTCTTTAAAAATTATTTGAAAAACGTTTATATTGCATCTGACATCCAAACCAAGAACATTATTTTTGCTGCACACAATTTACGCTACAATGAATACATAAGATAAATAATATAGTATTTTAAGCTTCCCTTAATTTGTATATAGGCAACTAATAGTTTCTCACATTTGTATTCACCTTTCTGAGAAGCCAAAGTTGCTGTAAGCTAAACTGTCAGCCTGCTAGACTTCCAGTTATTGAAAAAACAGTTGTTCAAAACCAGTGTCAAAGTTTCTCTGAGAAGACACAGACAAACAAGAAAATTATTTTGAATTACAAATCAGAAATTCTGAGCTATAGCTTCAGATAGACTAACCAACTTTATCATAATTTTAATATTTACATTGAGCGTGTAAATAAAAGGTTTTATAGTGCACTAATATACCTTAGCACTGAAAAGTATCTAAAGAAAAGAAAAAGCACCTTATTGCTTCAATTTTGCTAGATTCTTCAGCTTCATTTCCAATTTTATTTGAGAAAACTTTT